CCTTTATTTTTCATTTATTTTCAAGATTACTTCAAGATCAATGGAAGCATTTAAAAAAAGTTTAAAACAAGTTTCTTTTTACATATAATCTACACTAGAAAATAACATGTTACGTTAAAAAAATTCATCCAGTAGAGTAACCCATTTTCAGTTGAAACTATAAGTTGAAAATATTACTATTCGATAAAGCATAATTATATTTCTCTTAAATAATTTAAGAAAAAAATTCAAGATTTAGTTCAATAAAGATTTTATGCAAATCGAAGTTCACCTGGAATGCAGCTCCAGATCCAAATGTGACAAGTAAAGTTCTTTACAAAGCTTATAGCCAGCCAAATGCGACCTCGTCTTTTTAATACTGTTGATAGCCTGCGCAGGTAATGGTTCCTTCGTTTCGTAATGTTCAGAGATTTTTTGCAACATAAATGGTTCGTACAACCTATATCCATCAAATATATACACAAAATTGAATTACATATTAGACATTAACTTATTAATTAATTAATTGCAATATTAACACAAGCATATCAAAAATATAAGGAAAGTAGATAAATGAATAGAATAAATAAAAATAACTTTATTTTATACCAGTTCTCCATGAAGAAATCACAAATGAATACCGCGTCCCATTCCACAAATGATAATCCAGCAATGTCAGAGTACTCGATCGTAGTCAGCAAATGTTGTAAAGCGTGTCCAAACTGTAATGTGCAACAAATAAAAGATTAATGTTTTAACAAATTAAAGATGTATATATCTATTATAATTTTACAAATAGTATAATATATGTAGCCTATTACCTTTTGGAAAAGAATCTGTACGTCCCTGAAGGAAAGAAGAGAAGGTTTATCGCCTATCGGTGGCGGAAAATTGAAGATCATAGCGATCAATGGAGTGCTATTGCCGACTTTGCTCTTGCTTTTGATCGTGGACACCCATCCCGATGCCTGTTCTTTACGGAATTTCTCCGTTCCTCTGGCGTAAGGATCTAGGTAGAAATTTGCGATGGGCGCTGCATTGGATTCGTTCAAATCGAATATGTCGAAGAACCGGACATCTTTATGCCAAATGTCCGCTTTCTTGCTTTCGACGATTTTCACATTAAAGAGCGTCTCGATGTGTTTGAAGAGGCCCGTCAACACAGTCGGCAACGGAAAATACTCTCTCCACTTGTTTTCGTCACTGAATAAACACGGAATTAAACAAAGTATTTAAAGATATATTATTGTACAATATTTTATTCGACATTATAAACTTTTAGCAAATATCAATAAGTATTTTAAATGATATTTGAATTCTACAATGCAGGATATTTTACATTTTCTTTCAAATAATTATATTCTCTTTAAAATGCAATCGCGCGAGCGCAACATAATTCTTTAATATATAATACAAATACATATATTATACTAAAAAAAAAAAAACTTTTCAATATAGTATTAAAAAAATATATGTAGGATATTTTTTATGCCAATTTACTTACATATACATGCTATGACATTGTTTTCTATCCCAAAATGCAATATCCCATACCCTTATAATATCATTGAAATCTCTCGCCTTTGCAAATTCGGTTAAATTTGCAATTTCCTTCAATTTCATGTAATTATTAATTAATCAAGTAATATTATCAAAAATATTATTGTCTATTATTTATAATATTCTATATTCATAATTTTAAATAATTATTATTAAAATAATATATTAATAAAAATATATTTTTTTCTAACAAATCTAATTAATAATAAATCATTATTGTTCTTTCATAATTTCAACAAGTTGTCAACAAATTAATTTTAAAAAACATAAATGCTCTAATAAATTTTCGATTATTTCTCTGTATTATATTTTTCATTCATAATAAATTAATTACCAGTACTCCGAAGAACTTCTAGCGTGTTATACAGATTCTCCAGACTGCCGGCCATCTTTGTCTCCATGCTCATCTCTGCGTAATTCTTAAATCCCAAGCGCTTCGCCTGTTCAATTCTTCTTGATCGGAGTTCCTCCAATGTCACACTGGCCTGAACGGATCTTTCCTGATAATTAGAGCACCGGATGACATCAGCATCCCAGATCGCCTTCCTCAGTTCACGATCAGGACAATATTCTAATTGAGAAAATATAAATCGATAAAAATTTAAGTCTTAAAAATTTCAAGTTTTTTTTTAAATAAAAATACGAAGGATGCATACCCATAAACGGTTGCAGGATATATGGCTTTAAAGTGATTTTCCAAGGACCCATGTAAGGTTGCCTAGGGTCAATCGCTATGGATTTGAGATAGTCTTCCGGAAAATCTTCCACGACACGTTTGTTATGTATTACCATACTATATACAGCTGTAGAACTCTAAAAAAATGAAGTTAAATTTCAGTTCGTTGCTATGCTTTTTTCGAGACAAATGTTCACTATAATAAAAATATACTATAATAACAAAAATAAAATCCTAATACGGTGCTTTTTTAAATATAATTAGTCTTAAATATAATTAGCCTTCTTTAATTTTGCTATGTTATAATTATTATAAATCTATTACAAGTTATGTGATAGAGACCTCATATTTCGCTTTATATTCCTTGATTTTCGACAGAATGAAACTCAAGTCAGCTGAATACTTCTCGAATTCTTTATCTTGCAGATTCAGGCCATTTAAAGTTCCTTCCAGCACATACTTGGTAAGCACTCTCCTCTGCGAATGTGTTAATTTGATGTCCTTATTCTCTAATGCTTCCTTGCATGCTCTAAAGAGTGGCGTACTGCCAAATTTGCTAGCTATGGCTCTCGTAGCGCGTTCGTGAATACCCATATAGCATTTTGTCGGCATCAAACTTTGATTGCCAAAATACAAAGTCTTTGCTATGCCCCAAGTCGTCTCAAGAGGAAGATATGCATCCTCGATTGGATGTAACCACTCATTAAATACATCTAAATCTTTTGTTGCTGTAAAAGATTATAAAAATTAAAAATCGTAATTATACATATTAAGACATATTTCTTTTTATTCAAGATTTGTATTATATTAATTTTATTATTACTGATTATAAGAAAATCTCTTAATATTATTTATTCTCTTTCTATTCATATCATATTCAAAATTTGCTTATACAATGTATTTAAATATTAATTATACAGCATTCAAATAAAATTAATACTTAAATATATTTAATTAATGTTTTCAATATAGAATATCTTTTAATAATTAAGTAATATTTCTTTGATTGTACTTAATACTTACGGACTATTTTTTCCAGACTTTTCAACTTTTCTTCAAAATCTACAGTTTGTTTTCCAATAGCTGCTATACATTTTTCGATTGTAATTGTGTTAAACTCTGGTAAATTGTCATCCTTCAGTAAAGGATTTTTCTCTGATGATTCTTCACCTATTTCTGGAAGTCTTGACATAAAGGAAAAAAAGTATAAAATTGTATGAGGTGCATAAATGTACAAAACAAATGCAAATATACAAAATAAACTCAATTTATATATCTAATAAATATAATCAAACAAAACATAAATATAAAAAAACGGATCTAAAATAATTTTGTACTTTATAATTTAATTATATATATTAATTATATTTAGAATACATTTTTATAAAATATCCATTAAATAACAATGTAGATATTTAAAAACATAAATTAAATGACATTACAAAAAGTTTATTTATATTACATAATACATAAATTATACAATATGTAAACATAATTATGTATAAATTATATGTAACATGCAATAAATATATAATCAAATAGATGAGAAATATTAAACAAATAATAAAAATAACTCATAAAGATACAATAAATATATAAATAAATTAAATAATCAAAGAAAATTAAGTGAATAACAAAGAATACAAATTTAAAATACATGAATGAAAATATAGACAAGATGAATCTCTAAACACCAAAAGTATAGTTAAAATGTAACTAATTATTAAAGATAAAAAAAGAATCCAGTACTAAATATATGCACAAATATATAAAGAAAACACAATAAAATGATATAAAACGCAGTAATCGTTAAAAGAATACGCGAGAATCAGTGAAACCTAACCTCTATGATAATAAAATAAAGGAAAATAAACTTACAAAACTATATATCCATTTCGTTTCGGAATTTTCAAGAAATTCCGTTGCGTTAAAGCGATTCTTTTACCCAAAAAGGACACCGCCATTTTATGCGATAAGATAACTTCTTTTCAAATAACGTGAAAAACTCATCGCACAAACTAATTAATATAGGTTATCCAACCTAAAAGCCGCTAAGGCTCCATTGACATATTAGAATCGCACGTACGATTTATCGATATCAAACGATACCGCCGCGCGATTAGAATCTGATCAAACAAATTTGCATAGCAAATGCATATTTATTTATTAACAGGGTTGGTATTTTTACATTTAAAATTCCATTTCAAATGTAATTCTATTTAAAATGCTAAATATAAAATACTTAAAAAATGTATTATACATTAAAATGTACGTAGGAAAAATCATTCTGTATTTGAAAACTATTTAAAATATCTATTTAACTATTTTACATATAAAGTGGATTCGAAAAAACATTTTGCATTTTAAATATTTTACATTTGCCATTTTAAAATTTTTGATTTATTTATAATTTTTTTAGAAGGTGAACAAAAAATTATTTTTTATGCACTAATATGGATAAATTGCGGTCACTCGAATGCGATATAGATTTTGTCAAAATTAGCATTTAGGGGTAACGACTTGCACATGTATCAACAGTTGTCAAATAGGCACGCAATTTTATTACCAGCTAAGAAAACGGATATTAAAATAAATAATATTAACTGCATTTTACTTTATAACTTAAAAAAATTTGATTTAAAATTCTTGATAACAATAAATGTAAAAAAAAAATCAAGTACATTAAAATAATCACATGAAAACAATCTGCCTTTCGACGTGCGGATCAATTGATTGGATGTCTGGATCTAAAAAGTGTTCGGAAAGGAGAAATACACTCGCGAAACACATTTCAAATATTTATTTAGAAATTAGCAATATAATGGGTTGGAACAAAAATTCGTAGCGTTATTACTCATTAGTATCACATGCTGCTATATGTTTTTAAAAAATTTGATAATTATATTTGTCAAAGTTTTAACATTAATCTGTTTTTCGAATTGCGATACAATGAGTGTTAATGAAGTTATAACCGATCAAAATGCTCCTTTTATTTAATCTGTCATAAATTAATAAAAAAAAATGTTAAGAACATTTTTAAAAACTGATTTTGTAGAAAAAATTTTAAGTTTTCACGTTTGAAAATTAAAAATTTTTTTGGATATGTAATAGGTTCACAAAGTAACATGTTCACAAAGTAAAAAGAATTTCTTCTTTCGATCATAATTTTCTTTTTCTTTCTTTTACATTAGGCTTCTAATGCGTACGCTGATTATTCACTTGCCACAAATATACGGGACCTACAGTTTTATGCCGGTTCCGAACCGCGGATTTTTCGAGAGGTGTTTCATATTTTTCTATATATAAAAATTACCAAACTCACTCAGAAATTACAAAATATAATAACCTTTCAGAAATTGAGCTTTAAAACCTTTTTTTTTTATTTAAATTTCATTCATATTTAACGAATATGATTATAGCTGTTTGAATTGATTCGAAACGTTACGAATTCTTTTTCTAGAATTTTCAATACGTAGAAAGAAAGAAATATTATCATCATATAATACAACAATGCGCATGATGATGAATAGACGATGCAATACGCACATATTTACAACGATCGTGAATATTATAATGCGATCACAGATGATCGAGAATGATTGTAAAGACAAGTATAATTCTATTACAGTGAATCGGTACAAATCGGCCGGGATTGCAATCGCGACGTGCATAAGTGATAATTAAACGCTCCCAAACAATAGCCACGATTAACAGGCGGACTTGAGCATTATACTGAAGAGTTTACATTATAGATATTCATAATTACATACTCCATGATTTTTATAATCCACATTTTGGTCGTACTGTCCTCATAAGAGCAGAGAAAACCATATGGAATTTGGCAAATATTGCAGCAGTGTAACGTTTCTTCTGTATGCTATCGAGAAGATTCTAGCTAGTATTGTCCTTTGTTCGAGGAAATATACCATTAAATTAAAAAAAAATCGGATGTTGCTATTTTTCGACGTCGATACTTGCTTAATTAGCGCGATTGAATACGTAAAAATACTGAAAGTTTTTCTTTTTAGAAAAAAAAGCGATTTATGTATAATAAAAAAATTGTATAAAAATTACATTTTTATAAAAATAATAATCCTTATATACAAAAAAAGAGAAAAAGAAAAAAAAACTATGTTTAACATAGCAAATATATAAATTTATTCAATACTTTTCGATTTTTAAATACTTTTGAATCTAATTCGATCCAATCCTATAAATTTAGATCAAATTTAAAAAAAAAAGTCAAATTTTCAAAATTAAAAATGACGTATCCATTATGGCATATCTCGCACAATCTCTTAGCACAAATATTAACATTAATTTAATATTAAATTTAGTAAAACAATTACTGATATAAAAAATTTGCTTGTCAATATTGAATCCATTTCATTTGAAATTCTAAAATTGGACTTTAGTCTCGTAATCAGCGATCCAAGAATATATATATATAAAAAATATAATATATAAATACAAATATTAATAAAAATCATGTATCGAAAAAATGTGTTCTACAAATGTACTCTATAAGGATTAATTCGAAATTTTTGAATGGATTTTGTCAATTTCATTGATATCCCCACACCACTCAAGTGTTCAATCAAAATCGTTTTCTTAGCGAGCACACACTCGACGCATCACACTCACTGTGGCCTACGAAGCCTTGCAATTAACGTTCACGATTTGAAAAATTAAAAAAGTCCGTAAGCGATTTAAAAAATTAAAAAGAAGTGCGGATGAACTGGACATATGACAAGTGTGCCACTGAGAAACGATTCATCTTCGAGATATCAATATAATAGATTATGTCTCCTTTTCCTGTGTATCACAATCGTCAGTAGGCAATACCTTTTTATTTTCGCGATCATATCGCAGCTTGCTAAGGCGGAACCATTCGCTTGCTATAGTTTCAAATTCGCATTCGTTGATACCCCTGGCTCTTAACACAACTAACAAAACATTCAATAGTACAGTTAATATTACAACTAAAATCCTTATGAATTTTGATAAAGAATAAAAATATGCAACTTACTTTTTAGAACTTGGATACATTTTAAATCGCACATGCGATAATTATTCCCGCGACCACACCAAGAACAACTAATGCCGAATTCATTTGTAAATAAACGGCTCATACACCGTTGTATCATATTTTTGTTGCCTTTGCCTCCAATTCTTTTTATAAATTCCATCTTAAAAACATACAACTTAATTAGATCACATAAACATATTCATAAGCAATTAGATAAATAATAAATGAAATGTAATTTAACATACTACTATAATAAATAATTATAATAAATAATATTTATAATAAATAATATTTATACTTTTAAAAATTAACTTACAAATTTCGTTTTTATTTCAGCTGTTTCTATGCTTTCCTCAAATCGTTTAAGATTTTGTATAGAATTGATCGGAAGTAGGTCATCGAATACATTCATTCCTTCAGGCTCTTCCTCATTAATAACGCCTTTTTCCAAAACTCTCAGCCTCCTATCGATGCTTTTTACATACCTTAATGTTTCTTCACAAATCGGAATCAACTTTTCTGAAATAAAATTAATTACAACGTATAAATTTTCTTTTATCATATTGCTTCTAATCAAAACACACTGAGTTAGTATTATATGCTTATAACGTATATAATAATTTAAGAAAAATAAATATAAAATATTCTTACCAATGTCACTAACCGTAACTGACGGGGCAGTAGTTGAAATAAATTCAAGATCTAAAAGAAGTTATTGTATCAATTGTGGACATTTTATCATATATATAGATATTACATATCAACTTAAAAAAATTAAATAATTTTGAATTTTTACTTTGTACATTCATTTCTTGCGGTCCAAATTCAGACGACTCATCCATTTGTACTATTTGTAGTGGATCAACTATCTGCGTTTGTGATTTATCATACAATGAATGTTTTGATGTAGATAAGGTGGCAATTTGTGAAATTTTATTACAAGAGAATTGCTTTTTATGCAACAATTGTTTGTCATGCAAAGATTTCTTTCCAGACGACTCCCAATTTTCATTTATTTTTATCTTCTTGTATGAAGTCTGTAATTGCGAAGCTGAATCTGATAAAAAATATAATAAAAATTAGTTAAGTGTGAACAGTTTATTTTTTAAAATGAATTTAAAAATTACAATTATTGAAAAAAACTTTGATTTCTGAAACAATAGAAACAAAATATAATTTGATAAAATTAAATTACCACAATCTTCATCTATACTGTCATCATAAGTATCATATGTATCGTCAAATTGTTTTTCGTGTATGACTCTTTTTTCATGTCTTCTGTTTTCATCACAAGTTGCGTAATTAGGATCTGCTTTTTTCCGTGTCTCTTCTAAAGAATCTGTAAATATGAAATTTTGTATTGATTATCCTTAGAAACTTACATAAAGCATCTACTCTCTGACAGCTTAATTTTATTACGTTACTGATAATTACAATAGTCTTGCAAGAGCCATCAATTTGAATACTTATACAAAAGATTAACTTAAATTTGGCTTACATCAAGCTTAAGGCTAGCTTACACTCATTACTTAAATATCATTTCTCTTTTCCTTTATAAACTTCCTGGAAGATTTCATAATCCTATCATAATTTAAGAAGGTAGGGTATAAACATGGTTCAATAAACAGGTGTTCTAAGTTATCATCTGCTAAGGATGTCGTTCCAACAAACTCTTCCTCTCTATCAGATATAATTACTACTTTAGGATTAAAATTAAAAAATTATTATTAATAACATTTCAAGTTGGTGATATTTCAACATCTGGTACAGTGTAGAACTTTTTCTATATTTACACAACCCTATTGGAGATACAGGAGATATCATTTGTATGTTTCAATAAATTACTCATTTTGTATGTACTTCATTGTATAAATTAAAAGTTTGAGAATTTTAGCAATTTTTTTTTAGCCATAATTTTGTCTAATAATTCTCAATTTATAATATAAATAAGATTTCCTATGGAACATTTTTATTTTTTTTTTTTTTACTGATAAAATCGATATTTATTTACATTCGACAAAAATGTAATTAAAACAAATGTTATTCTAAGCCAAAAATGCAGTCTGCTAATGATACACCAGTTGATGATTAGTATTTTTAAAGATGTAATTCTATATATAAATCGAAAATGTAATAAACAATTATTTATTTTCAAATCATTTATTATTTCTTTCCTTCAATCAACAAATAAACTTCTGTTTAGACATTTTTTGACAATTTGTATTTTCCCTTGCCACTATATCAATCTATTTAATTGTGAGTGTATAGTGGAAATTTGATAAAAGATAAATACAAATAACCAGCTCATTTTTTAAATTGATAATAAATATAATAATATTTAGAAAGGTCAAAAGAAATAAAAACAAGGCATTATAAAATATTTTTAAAAATTTAATATGTTCAATACATGAAAATTAGCGAAAATAATTTCAACTTTAAAGTCTTCTTCAGTCGCATAAATTATAATTGAACTTCAATTAATAATTAAACTTCAATTAAACTTAACAAGTTATGGTATAAAAATTAAAAAATTAGAATGTTAAAAGATGTGTAAAAATGATAGAAGTCGCAAATAGTCGTAAAAGAATTGACCAAAAGGAAATATTAAATTTATAGATAATCAAATTTCTATATTTATAAATAATCTATATTTTTGTTTTTATTTATATTAATTAGACGATTAATTTGTAAAAAAAATTATAAGAGTAGTCAATTTTTCATTTAGACATTTTTTATCTAAAAAACTATTGATTAAGAAAAAAGTTTAAAAGATAAAAAATATTCATTTTGATCCAATTAAGCTTATATAATTTTTTCGGAATTTTAATTTAAAGTTTAGGTTTTTTAAACAAAAAATTATTTATAATTATTCATAACGATCATGTTAAAAAATAAAGTGTATATAGATGTTTTTTCACAGAATATAGAGGAATCAAATTAAATAATTTTCAGCCACTATGTTACTTGGAAGATCAATGAATTGAAAAAAATGGGAATTATTCGTCTATCAATATCAGCAACTTTCTTCTATTAGAATACTAATTATTTTTCAATATACATTTCAACCTTCAAATTGCTGTTTTCAAACTCACCAATTGTATCAATATCTATAAACTTTAATTCAAGAATATGATTATTCTCTTCCTCATTTTGTTTATCTTCTTGATTTTCTGTATTACAAGCTCTATTTCTAGATGTAAATTTAGATGATGTATGGTCCATTTGATTACATGAAACACATTTTGAATTCATAGCACTATAATCTTTATTGACTTTGGTATATCGTTTACACATTTGTCTTATAGGCATTGTTTTACTATTTGACTCTTGATTTGCTTGAGTCAAATACTCATTTGATTTATTCTGACTGCTTTCTTCATTCAGCTTGTCATCACTCTTATCGTTATCCAATTGATTAACAATATTCTCTTCATCATTTCTAGATATGATAAGTATTTGGTTTTCAGTAAATTCCATTTTTGTAGCTATTTCACATGCCTTTTCAAATGTTAAATCATCTTCCGTCAATAATCTCTGTTTAATTTGTTCCGAAAATAAACCGAAGACGAATTTGTCTCTCAAAGCTTCATCCAAGAATCCTTCAAATTTACAATATTTTGACAGATTCTTCAATTTAATTTGGTACGATTTGATATCTTCACTACTATCTTGATTTGCACTGTAGAATTTGTATCGTTCTGCTATTACAAGCCTTTTTAAATTATAATGATTTATTAACGTCTCTTTTAAAGCAGCATACGTCTTTTGACTAGGTAATTGTGGGGACAAAAGATCTTTTAAAACATTATAAGCTTCTCCCCCTAACAAAGTCAAGAAAAGTGGCACTTTTTTTTCATTGACATCATTACAAATAAATAATTGTTCTATTCTTTCAATATAAGTCGTTATGTCAGCTTGATCTGGATTAAATGGTTCAATATTTCCGATTAGAGACATTGTGCTGATTTTGTATATATCTTATAATTCTATAATACGTAGTAACCTTGAATGGAATATTATAAATTTAGAGCATATTCAAGGTTATAAATAACGCACGGATTTTCCAGAGTCATCACCATATAATATGATTAGTTTCCGTACGGAAACTTACATAATGCATATCTTTTCTAATAATTACATTTGTCTTAACTTTATTTACTATTGATATAATTATAATAATCTTACGAGTATCAAAGAACACCGCCAATCTGGATACTTTAGACGCCGGTATAAAAAAAAAAAGATAGATCCATGCATGACGGAATAGACATTGTATAGAGAGACACCTGAGAATGAATATTATAGTCTTTTTCTTGTATCAAACCAGGGTAATATCCACGTTTTTGTGGTTCTTTTCCATGCTATTATGTGGGTTTCCTTGCTGAAAATTTTTTTCAGAACTTTTCATATAATTTTTCAGAATTTTTATATAATTTTATAATTTTCTCATATTTTTTTATACGAATTAGAGCACTTTTCAGAAAATCTACGTCTTTTCTCAAAATTTTTCATATATGAATTGATTATGAAATATTCATAAGATTTCTAAGATTTTTTATAAGTATAATTTCTGATGAAATGTTATAAAATCTAAAAAATTTAAAAATATATTTTTTTTTAATTATGGGATGAGAAATCTCAGAATATTTCAGAATATGAAAAATTCTGAGAGATGTGAACCATTCGAATATTTCTGAAAAATGTTTCAATTTCTATAAAAATTATTTTAAAAATGTTCACCAGGAAAATGTTGACAAGGACGAACAATCAACTTTGTTTATTCATCCTTGTCGATAAGATATTATTTAAAGACCGACATCACCGACGAGATACTATTAAAGACCGTCAACCCTGAATAGATTTTCGGCTGTATAAAAAGGGTCCCAAGGACCTGGAGATAATTGAAGAACTCTGACATTATCGACAATTGATATAAATTTACTATTATTAACATAAATATTTGATTCATACATTATTAAATTCATGATTTTTTATTACACAAATATTCCATAAATAAGTATGCATACTTATAAAACTATAATATTTTATATATTGCAGAAAAATTACAATGTTTTTTCTGCAGTTATCATCGCTGTTGATAATCAAACTTTGACGATAACACTGAAATCACAATTTTAAAGAAAAATCGAGTTCTAAATGTATAAATATGTCCATTAATCTAATAAATCATAAAATAAGTACAATATTCAGTATTATCGTCAAAATTTGATTATCAACAGAGATGATAACTGCTAAGAGAAAAAATTGTAATTTTTCTTCAATATATAGGATATTATAGTATCCTTTACATGTATGCATATTTATTTATGGAACATTTATTTAATAAAAAATTATGAATTTAATAATGCTTGAGCCAAATATTTATGTTAATAATAGCAAATTAAATGCAAACTTTCATTGGCTGTCGCAACAAACTTGCGATCATTTTGCGACTAATATAGTACCGGCTTAATGGGCCTTCTACAATAAACCACAAATCAGAAGTCTTAAGTCTTAATCAATCTTAACCATTACACACATTCTACAATAAGCCATTAATCATAAATCAGAAATTAGAAGCTGGAAATTGACCAATCACAGTCGTCAATTTCCAACCATTGTAAAAGGGCCATAACTCACGTAATATTGGGTCATCTAAAAAGTATCCGCGGTTTTTTGTCACTAGATGTGTGTTGATGGTCATATATCTAGTGACAAAGTACCGCGGATACTTTTTAGATGACCCAATAGTAACTAATACCTTTTCAACTTTTAGTAATTTTTTATCGAATTATCTTAATTTCGGCGATGCGTATAAACATAAATACATGATATGAGTATTTAATTAATCATTCTGATGTACATTCTGATGTACCAATTTAGTGCATCGTTCTTTAAATACGTTGAAATTAAGATAATTTAATAGAAAGTTACTAGTTAGACGTAAACGGGGTCACGCATGTTGGAACCATTTCGAACACCTGGCGTCTGTAAAATGGCATCCCTGATCGCTCCGCGATACGATGTTTCGTTTTGAGGTTAAGTATCGATCAGTGCGCTGGCGCCGTCTCGGCAGCGACGGGGACGTGAGAGTGATGCTCGTCATGTTTCCATCTCGGCGGATCTCGCCGATCCGCGCGAGTTAGGAGTCGGTGCCTCCGCTACGATGACAGTGTGCTGATCGCTACAGCGAAACATGGCGCAGTCTATCCTCGATGTTTTGACAGGTAAGGCGAGCGTCGATCGAAATAGGCGGGGTTGACCGATCCCGGAAACGTCAACAATCCACCTCGAGCCTTCGTTCCTCGGGCATGGAGTAGACTGTCGTTTTCTTTCTGCATCGCATCTCCACGAGCTCGTCTTGCGACGACGATTTCAAGTACGCTAGGTAGTACGAGAGACTGAGAGTGCGCAGATTTTTAGGGTTTGAAGGATATGGAAAATGGGGGTCATCGACTTAACCTGCCTCGATGCATCTTATAAATTTGTAGCGATTTACGCTTTGCGTACTTCCAAAACCGTACTCTTCTAGTTCTTGTTTAATTATTTGAATATTAAAGTGAGTAAGACTCTGGAATAATAATTCAAAGGCTAGAAAGGAGTGTACAACACAGTTATTCGTGTATGAATTGTTATGTGTATTTACCAGGGAATGGAAGTACAGTAACCCCGTTCCTTTTACCGTTATTTTTTTATAATAATGATTTGATAATGACGTTGGAATTTTTTATGACTAACAATAACTAAGGTTGTACCAAGATTGAAGAAGTCACTTTGAAAAGTAACTTGTCACCACTATGCGTTTTACTGAAAAAAGTAATTTGTAATGCAGTGACACATTACTTTATTCATTACAAGTAATATAATAGTAAAAGTAACTTATTGCAACAAGTAACTTTTCCAATCCATTACAATTAATGACTTCTTCTGGTTACCATTACCATCATAAAAAATTTACAATGTCATAACCAAATCATTATCATAATAAAGTAACGATAAAAATAACACACACTTCTATTTTGTGGTACGTATTTATAATAATTAGTATTGAACAATGTAATAATTGATCTTGTTTAATTATACATTTGAAAATTTAAGTAAGTAAGACTCTGGAATAATAATTTAAAAACTAGAAGGAAAGCTTGTAACATAGTTATTCATGTGTGAATTATTTGCAATAATTGATATGCAATGAATAATGTAGTTGTTTTTATTTAATTATATATTTGAAAATTAAAGTAAGGTTCTGGAATAATAATTCAAAGGCTAAAAGGAAAGCCTATAAAAGTGAATACAGTTATTTGTGCATAAATTATTGTATGTATTGACAATAATTAATATATATTGAACATATTGCAAATTATTTCGGATTTGATCCTCTTCAGTGCATATTATACATATATAAGAAAATGATTACTAAGTTAGGATCCATAAATTCTCTAGTCAAAAGAGTCAAATTGTTAAAAAATTGAAGTCATCAATGGAAATATGATAGGTCTGATTGCTGAGATTCGTTATAGTTCATTATAAAATTTAAAATAGAAAAATTAATACGTATATTTATATAAATTAAAAAATGAAATTGAATTTGAGTCAATGATTAAAATAAGAAGAATGAACGATTTATTTAATTAATTAAGAAACTAATTATATAAATAAGTGAACAATTGTATCTCATATCTTAATTATTTTAACAGATGTCTCGCTGGATGGCTCCTCTGTGCAATCCTTGCTGGAGTCTCAAAACCTGATAGCTGAAGTCGAACAGTCAGGTATAATACTTGAGAAGATGAATCTGATGAATCTCTAAAAAATAAAAAAAAATGTATTATTTAGACTCCTTTTTTTGAGTTATAATAAATTAAGAAACTTATTAAATAAGTGTTTGTCTTTCACGGTAAAACATAATTAACAAATTTAAATTTTAATGATAGAATTTTAATATTAATAGCGCGAAAATTTGAAATGTATTTAATTATGTTATATTTCTCCTAGAAATATATTCTCTGAAAAAATATCTCTAACATTTTTTTCATGATATGGAAAGATATGTATTTCAATTCTAGTTAATCTACTAATTAATTGTTTTGAAAAGAGACAAATTTTTATGAATACAAATATTCTAAAAATAATATAATTATGTATATGTTAATATTTTCTCATGTACATATCGTTTATTACATAATATCAACATATCTTCACCAGCAATTGATCAGGATGAGGAAGACATATTTCAATGTGGCAAATGTAAAAGTCAGTTTACGTCACTTCAACTGTTCATACTCCACAAGAGAACGCACCAGAAAACGCAGCAGCAAACAGTAGACTTGACTCAATTTCTAACAAACGATGAGAGTCAGGTAATGCACGTGGAAGATGTCATTCAAGATGAGTCGCAGTACAATTCACAGGAAACCTTTCAGCTTGGAGAACCTATTATTCTCGAAGAAGCAGACATGTTATTTAGGTATGTTGTCATTGATAATTATATAATAATTATAATTCGATAAATTTGAATTAAATATTTTCGTGCCACCTTGAATATATAAATTATTCCTTGCTTTTGTAAAATTTATTCTTTAATGTGTATTATCTTTTTTTTTTAATCTGATTGTTACAGTGTGGATCAGGAGGCTGCTAATTATTTCATGACAGACTCCACGTTCAGCGTGCCGATCATTTTGAGTACAGAGAACTTGGATACTTTCGATAATGCTGCCATCGAGGCGACGAGGGAAGATTCAAGCGAAGTGCCGACGATACTGCAAAATGACATCAGTTCACAGGAGGACGCCTCGAGTCAATCCGAACATCCTAGCGCCTCGTTGACGGACAACGAACCGTCTCTGGCAGACAACGAGCCGCCTTTAGAGGACAACGAATCCTCTCTTGAGAACAACGAGACATCCCTCCAGGATAATTCACTCAATGTATCAGAAAATGGCATCAATCGAATGCAGAACTTAAGGGTATCATTATATTGATGACTTTCTGTTTCCAAAACAAAAAGTAAAATTTATAAAACTTGGTTCTATAGTTTTAAATTAAATTGTAATTAATGTTTTCATATTATTTAATTATAAAATTTAATTCAATTTAATTAAAGTTTAATGTGAGATTTTCATAACAAATATAATGTAAATCTGTTTTCAAATAATTTTTTTAA